ACTCCTACAGCCTTGGACCTCAGCCTTCCGAGGTGACTTCAGCTGTCTCAGTGTATGGCCTTGCATGTCTCCACCTGGCTGGCGGGAGCAGGCACTGATTTTGGGGGGACTGTGGGTTTCTCAGGATTCTACATACCAGAATTCCCAAAACTTCACAGACTGCAGTTCTATCAGGAGCACATTGTCAGATAAATGCTTCCCAAACTTCAGAAACACTTAGTGAGTGAACCTTCCCCTCACCTCCTTCCCAGAGGCCCTGGGTCCCATCAGGTCAGGGGGAGAGGGAAAGCCCGAGTCCCTCCTGCCATGGTGAGAGGCCTGGTACTGGCTGGATCCTTTTTAGGAATGTGGGATTCTTGATGGGTTTAAAGTTTGGTTTCCTTTTCCTTCACCTGGAGGGACAGAAGCAGGGGGATACGGTCAGATCTAGGCTGACCAGGGCTAAGGAAATTTGGCCACTCAAGGATCTGTGCAGTGGGCAGGTGGCAGGTTGGACAGAGCCCTGGCCACTACCAGGAGTGTTGCCCTTGGGAAACTGTCTACCAGAGGGCCCTGGAATTGGGAGCTTTGCAGGCCAGCCCAGGGAACTCTGAGCACCTGTGTTCCTTCTGTCAGGATGACCAGGGGAGTCAAACTGGTTCACTCAGTGTTTCATCAAGGAGGTAAGGCCGCCCAGGGACACCCCAGGCTAGAGACCCTCCTTCTGCACAGTGCCTGACTCTCCCAGTTGAACCCAGGTGATCTCCACATCACAAGAGGCATAGGCATGTCCCTGCTGGGCAGACAAGCTGGGCCCTGCAGAGGCCTATCCTATGCGAGAAGCTGGGCCTCTGGGCCAGAATCATGGACCAACCCAACCAGGACCTATCCTGGAAGAGCCCTAGTAAGCCCTGAGCCCTGCAGAAGCCCCTCTTTCTGGGAGACAAACCCCTCTGATCTGAGTTCATCCCTTGAGAAGCTGCAGGACTGTGTCTCAGGCAGCCTCATGGAGAACCTCCTCCCCTGCTGGGGGGCTCCACACTACAAAGTGATTTCCTAGTAGGACGAGCTCAGGCCACCAGCACTCAGCCTGGACAAGCCTGCGCCTCCCACACCTGCTCTTCCTGCAGACCCCGTTCAGCCTCACCCTGAGACTTTCGGATGTCTATGTACTGGAGGGCGAGCATTTGCTCATGGCTATGGCCTACACCACCTTAAAGGTTCACAGAAGTAAGTATGCCTGTTCTCCAGGGTACTCAGAGTGGCAAGCAGAAAGGACAGACCCTGGCTGTGCCAAGGGCCACTGTTTACACTGACTGCCTCAGCCCAAAATGAGCCAGTCATGGAGGTAGGAGAGGTCAGGCCAGGCCAAATGTGGTGGGCTGGGCAGGGCACTATGGGTTTTTCCAGACACCAAGCCTACCCCTGACACGACAATGATAGAAGGCAGGAGCACGCCTTCTGTCTCTCTTGGTTATGAACACAGATTCTGGAGCAGACATCCCAAGTTCCAAGCCTGGCTCGATTACTTATCAGCTGTTTGAGCACATTATTTAACATCCTTGTGGCTTGTTTCTCCCCATCTGTAAAATGAGGTAGTAAGGGAATCTGCCTCATAGGATTATTATAAAGATGTAGATGAATTAATATACTTAAAATGCTTAAATAAAGTAAGCACTCAATAAATGTTCTGTTACCACTACAGAAGATGCACTTAATCCTGTGTGTGTGGTTGGTATGTGGAGGTAGTGAGGTAAGGAGAAATGCCAAGTCAGGAAGATTTTTTTTCTGAGGTAGTTATTGATCCAAATCTTGAAGATTTCCTCAACAAATATTTATTGGGCATTTACTGTGCACCAGGTACTAGATATGTAAGTGCAAAGTAACAGGGGTTGGAAATATAGAAGGAAAACTTCCCATGCAATGAGAACAGCAGATTCAAAGTCATGAAAATGTGTGAAGTCCAGGTGAGTTCTTGGAATTACAAAGAGTTCAATGAGACAGAGAAGAGGGTGAGAGCTGAAGAGAGGCAAGAGTGACAAGAGTAAGAAGTGGCGGCAAGGGTGAGATTATATGCAGTCTTGCCAATCATACTATGGCATTTGAAATTTATCCTATAATCACAAGGAGCCAAAGAAGGGTTTAAGCAGGAGAGTGATGTGATCAGATTTGTGCTCTTATAACATTGCTGTGGTGATAATATTAATCTGAGCCAACTCAATTTTCTTTAGGAAGTGAGACCTGTCTCAAAACTCCTTATAGGGGTGGGGTGGGATGGTTTTCTATGCAAACCAAAACTAATGGATTTTAAAATAAAAGCACTTACAAATTAAGAACTGAAAGTAAGTCTTCCATATATGCAGTAAAAACAATACTTTGATTTGGAGCATGAGGTATTTATTGCAAAAAGAAACACCTTATAATACATGGGGCTCTGAGTGAAACAACCAACTCCAGTCTGGCTCTTCTAGATCTATCTCATATCTTTTGTGTGTCTCATTAATTCATTTAATCAACATTTATTGTACCAGAAACTGCTTCAGGTACTTGGGATGCACCAATGAATAACCAAGACGAAAATTCCTGCCTTCTGGAAGCTTGTATTTTTCTGAGATACAGATAATAAACACCAAACATGAATAAATCACATGAAATATTAGAAGGAGATAAATGTCACCAAAACAAATGAAGCAGAATAAGGAACATTGGAAGCTCCATTCATGATAGCATTTAAAAAAGACTAAGTTACAAGAGGATGATTTCAACAAAGAATGAAAGGAACTGCAAAGCCCTCTGCAGCCTAAAATTCAAGATAAACCCTTTGGTAGGTGTAAAGTCCTGTCATTGCACAGCAGTCTCAGTTGCAAAAAGAGTCACCATGAAAAACATACATACATATACTTACCTACACATACACACAATTATTTATTACTCACAAATCATATATATGATTTATAAAGCCTATGTAAGCCTACTTTAAACAGTGTGATGTGGACAAGGCTTAAAATGGGCTGGAACATTTTCTCCCCGTTATTTCCACAATAAACAATTCCAGGGTATGGTGGTGATGTGTGTGTGTGTGTGTGTGTGTGTATGTGTTGGACAGCATCCCTGCTTGGATCAGGGCCTGCCAGAGCCCTATTCGTCTACAACCTGTCTTAAAAACAGCCCAACCCAGCAGGAACCCTCAATTTTTTCCTCCTTACCACAAAAACAAACCACCCCCCTTCAACAACCTAGTATCATAGAGCAGTGTCCTTCCTCACAAATCCACCGCCGCTTCACAGGCCAGACTCCAAGGGAAGAATGCCACCTACTGAATCATCGGCACCAGTCAGCCAGTCCGACAAAGTGCAACACTCAACTCAACCCGGGTCGTCTCCAAATCCCCTCCCTCTGATTATTTGGCAAAAACAAAACAAACAAACAAAACAAAACAAACAAAAAAAGCCACTATTTGGGCTGACAGGAAGTTATGCTCTCAGTGCCGATATCTGATAAACACTTCCACATATTGTAGCCTTCTCAATAGCTAAGCCAAATTTCAGCGTCCTCTCTCTGCCTGCATGTTCTTTAATTGCGCTTTCACGTTTGGAATGCCCCTGTCCCTGACGCCCGCAGACAGCGGAAAACGCTGGTGCGAATGTGCAGGGGCTGCAGACGGGGGCTGGAGACACCGGCAAGGGCTACCCAGGCAGGCTAGCGTTCGGGATTGCACAAGAGTTCAGGCGATGCTGTGGGCTTCCAAATTTGTACAGCTGTGGCACTCTGCCACGTGCCACTCCATCCCCAGGCCTCGGGCTGGGGGCGGGGGGAGGGAGCTTCCCCTCAGCAATCCGCTGAAAGCGAGGCAGGAATCACTGCAACTCCTCCGTTCAGGCTGAGGTCGCCACTGCTCCGCCAACGCACGCGTTGCAGCGACGCCTTCCTTCGCGGGCGCGGGGCGGGAAGGAACGGGGTCGGCTGGGAGGAGGCAGGGTGGCGGGAGGGGTGCGTGTCCGTGCACTAGAGGCCCCCATGCTTGACACGGGTCGGTGAGCTCAAGGCAGGACCCAGTCGGAGTCGCGGGCCGAGAAGTTCAGTCGTTCACCTGAGCCCGAGACAAAGTGCAACACTCAACTCAACCCGGGTCGTCTCCAAATCCCCTCCCTCTGATTATTTGGCAAAAACAAAACAAACAAACAAAACAAACAAAAAAAGCCACTATTTGGGCTGACAGGAAGTTATGCTCTCAGTGCCGATATCTGATAAACACTTCCACATATTGTAGCCTTCTCAATAGCTAAGCCAAATTTCAGCGTCCTCTCTCTGCCTGCATGTTCTTTAATTGCGCTTTCACGTTTGGAATGCCCCCGTCCCTGACGCCCGCAGACAGCGGAAAACGCTGGTGCGAATGTGCAGGGGCTGCAGACGGGAGGCTCGAGACGCCGGCCAGGGCTACCCGGGCAGGCTAGCATTCGGGATTGCACAAGAGTTCAGGCGATGCTGTGGGCTTCCAAATTTGTACAGCTGCGGCACTCTGCGACGTGCCACTCCATCCCCAGGCCTCGGGCTTGGAGGGTGGGGGTGGGGAGGTTCCCCTCAGCAATCCGCTGAAAGAGAGGCAGGAATCACTGCAACTCCTCCATTCAGGCTGAGGTCGCCACCGCTCCGCCGACGCAAGCATTGCAGCGACGCCTTCCGTCGTGGGCGCGGGGCGGGAAGGGAGGAGGCAGGGTGGTGGGAGGGGTGCGTGTCCGTGCACTAGAGGCCCCCATGCTTGACACGGGTCGATGAGCTCCTTAAGGCAGGACCCAGTCGGAGTCGCTTACTGAGAAGATCAGTCGGTCGCCTGCGCCCGAATATATATAGAAAGACACCCCGCCCGGCTTGCCGCAGGCCACACCGCGGGAAAGAGGACAGAGGCCTGCGGACGGCGGCGGGGGGCGGGCTGCGGCGCTGACGGGAGGTCGCCGCTGTAATCGCCTTCAGCTGGAGGTGCCGAGCGCAGGTGGCGATACATGGCCCCGACGGGAGGCGCCCCGCCTGAGCCCGGAGGCCGCTGCTCGGCCGCACGTCCTCGCCCCTCCCGCCGCCAGCCCGCAGACATGACCGCGAAGCCTCCTCCTGGGATGGGATTTGCTTGAAGATTTTCTTCATGGAAGCGATGTCCCCCCAGCAGGAGACTCTAGGGGGGGCAGCCGGGGCGCTCCTCTTCCCTGACAGGAGTGTCTCTCATCGCCGGATGCCCCGGCACCAAGAAGGTGAGGATGTTGAGCGGGGGCAACAATATTTTTGGTTTATATAATTTTTGTTGATCTGTACTTAAGGGTCTTTAATCCTTCGTGTGTCTGTTGTGCCCTTTCCTTTCATTGTCCATCCTGCTCCCCATCTTCCAGCTGAAATGGTTCCTTTAGTGCTGTATAATTCTAGGACTGTTGCTATAACATGTAAGTTTGTCTTAACAAGTTTACAGTGTGTAGGAATTCTGAAAAGACAAACTTGCTCCTGTAATAACATTTGAAACTGATGTCCTGTTGTATTTTAGGTGGCTCTTAACTTTTTAAATTTTATTTTCTGTTATGGTAAAAGTCACATAACATAAAATTTATAATTTGAACCATTTTTAAATGTGTAGTCCAGTAGTGTTAAGTACATTCACACTGTTGTGAAATCAATCTCCAGAACTTTTTTCATCTTGCAAAACTGAAACACTATACCTGTTAGGTGTCTCTTAATTTTAAGACTATAGTTTTTGCAAACATTTTACAAACACAATACTTTTGGTACTTTTTGGAGGTAATAAGTTTATTTCTTAAGAAAAGATTTTGTAAATGGCTTTAAAATAAAATGTCAAATAGTGTGTCAGCTAGCTGGTTAGCTCAGTTGGTTAGAGTGTGATGTTGATAACACACCAAGGTCAAGGGTTTGAATCCCTGTACCTGCCAGCTGCAAAAAAAATAGGGTCCTTAATTTAAAATTAGAGAGTACTTGAGTTATTGTAGCTCGGTAGATTTAGGATGACTGAGGAATTATGCTTACATAGCGAGCAGTTCTACTTTTTAAAAAAAAATCATAAACAAGGTTTTGATTGTTTTATGTACATCTTGTCAGCTGTCTTTCGTTATACTTTTTGGCTGCTATACATTTCATTCTTATTCCAATAATATAAAGTCTTGTAGTCAAAATACAGCTCCTTTCTAGCCGTAGGTATCCTGTATATTTTTTACGTCTTAATGAACTGAAATATAAAAAGTATTGAGTACTTTTTTTATCTTGTCAAGAGCTGATATTGAAACTTCTAAAAGAGTAAAATCTGCATTTTAGAAGTTTTCATTTTTTAAAAGTCTTTTAGTTGGAAAAGTTTTTATAAAGTATGTCACGAATCCTGAAAACATTTTCAAAAATAATAAAATCGATTACATAAAAACTAAAAATCTGTGCTTCGCACAAGAACAACAAAAAATTACTTTATGGCAGAAGTCTGGACATAAATGATGAGATGCAGGAAAATATTGAAGCATCTTTAACAAATGAAGAGATTCCACAACTTGATAAATAAAGTGCTAGGAATTCATTAGAAATACTGGCAAATAGCGCACAGAAAAATAATGCCTTTGAAAAGATGTTCTGTTATACATAAATAACAGATGCAACCTAAAACTTCCCCTGAGATATTATTTTTTTCACCTAGTTGATTGGCAGACATAAAGCCTAATAATATACTTTGTTGGAGTAGGTATGGAAATTCAATTCTTCTTAAATATTTTGCAGGAGTATTAATTTGTATAGCTTCTCTGGAGGGTTCTTTGGAAATCTCTTTCAAAACTTAAATGCACCTACTCTTTGATCACTTTCACTTTTAGAAACCTATCCTAGATATATAAATGCGTATGTATATGAACATATGTAAACTAGGCTACTCATTGTGGGGGTAGCTCTTTCAGTACCTTTGTGTTTTTCATATATACCTCAATGTGGCAGAATCTCTCTGGAAGAATACAGAAACTGGTAACAACACTTGCTTCTTGGGAGGGAAACTGAGTTTGCTGAAGAGGATCCGAAAGGCAACTTTTTAACTGAGTATTCTTTACAGAATACATGTCATGCATTACCTGGTAAAATTAATAAGAATAACATTGAGTAAGATCTTCAGGGAAGCCAAATGTGAAATACATCATCGGTGGACAACCCAGGTGTTTGTACATCACTGTGTCAGTAATGCTGCAGTGTTTTAGTGTTTGCCACTGAGTTCAAACATCTCTGTCTCGAAAGGAAGTTTTTCTTGCTCTGCCCTCTTTACCCTTGACTAGTTAGGGCAGTCACCCTATTACACATATTTATTCATTCTGTATATATTTTTCTTATCACTTACTACATTTGTGTGATTAAATAGTTAATATTTTCCACTGGTTTAGTGTCTTTTTCCATGGATAGAGCCCATGAGGGTTGGAAGCCCACCGCTCTTGAACTGCTTGGTTCCCAGTATTGTCTGTGGTGCCTTCTGGGTTGTTGACCCTCAGTACGTAAGAGGGTACTTCAAAAGTTCATGGAAAAATAGCATTAAAAGATAATGCAAATCTTTCCATGAACTTTTTGAAGTGCCCTTGTATTTGAATGAGTGAAGAATAGTTCTAGGATATCAGAGCAAAGCCACAGCCTATCAGGAAAATATGATAAACAATTCTCTTCTCATTCACATTGGCACTTCTGTTCCTTTTTTAAAATTTATTACTTTTAATTGATATATAATAGTTGTACAGATTTATGGGGTACAGTGTGATATTTTGATGCACGTATATAATGCATAATGATCAAATCAGAGTAATTAGCATATCCATTACCTCAAACATTTATCTTTTTTTTGTGTTGGGAACATCCCAAATCCTCTCTTCTAACTGTTTGAAATCATACAATAAATTAACTGTAGTCACCCTACAGTGCTATAGACCACCAAAACTTACTCCTCTTATTTAGCTGTAGTCTTGTAATTTTTCAATGGCTTCCCTAAAATAAATAAAAAATATAACCTTTTTTTGTGTGGGGGTGTTGGGGCATACCTTTTAGGAACCAAAATAAATCATAAAAAAAGGCAAAGATACAAATACCTTCAATTTTTTCAGATAACATTAGTGGTTTCATTGACTTCGCTAAAGCTCTTCAACTAGACCCATCTCACTCTAAGGTTCCACTCTGCAGGATTGTTTTTCTGACTGACCTTTGTTCTATTCTGACAATCTTTGGTATCATTGTTCTATGGCTTTTTCCTCCTGTTCCTAGGACTGGCTATTGTATTTTATTTTGAAGATTTTCAAACCTTCAGAAAAGTTGTAAAAAGTATATTTTTGGACACCAAAATATCCACCACCCATATTCTACAATTAACCTTTTACCATCTTTCCTTTAAAACATTAACTATTCATGCATCTTTTTTTATTTAGTGCATTTCAGAGTAAGTTGCCAACATCATTCCACTTTCCCCTATACTCTCCAGCTTGCATGGCATCGACTGGAGTTCAGTATTTGTTTATAGGACTCTTTCTTTGTGTGTGTGTATGTGTGGTAGAAATGTATGTACAATAAAATGAACACATCTTCAGTGTAACATCTGAGAATTGATAAAAGTATACACTTGTATAACCCAAGCTTTTATAAAGATACAGAGCATTATCATCACCTCTGAAAGTTTGCTATGTCATTTCCTAGTTCTTTTAGTTTACCGATTTAAATGATTATAAATCACTCCTGTTTAATTGTTATGTTTACATTATAGTGATCCTCTCAGTTTACACTGTTCAATCAGCATTCCTTCTATCATTAGATGAAGTCTGATGAAAGAAGATCATTCAACCCAGGATCTTTAAGAACTGACCTAATCATAAAGCCAAAAAGATCAAGTAGGAGTCAGTAATGAAATTGCCAACCCTGGTGGCTGTGTTGGTGTTCTTTGATAAGGCTTTGTGGGGAAAAGAAGGTGTTGCAATACTGACTGGACTGAAGGAAGCAGGGTGGGGGTATTATTAATCCCCTGTACTCACAGGGACCATACAGGTAGCAACTGGGATAGGGTGACAAGCTTCCTGCTATGCTATTCCCTTTGAATTTAGGAGTTTTACTGTCACACAACTTACTCAATCGCTCTCTGAAGTGAGATAAGGAAATGAGGATTGTCATATTTACTAAGGAAGAACAATAATCATGTATCTTAGAGAACAGTGGTGGAGAAGGTCTTGTGAGGAGTAGGCATAGCAATTTAGGGCCTGATGTCACCAGTTGGTAATATTCATGAAGTCAAACTCCTGGGGGGTGGAGGAGATGGGGGTGTCCCTTGGGAAGCAGAAATCTAAAACAAACTTAATTTCTTTTTGTAGAAGTTTTGGGAGGTAGGTATGTATCTGATAGAATAAAAGTTTGTTGCCTTAGAAGCGATTTATCCTTTTCATAAGTTTCAATATGTATTGAAGTTGCTAATAGCTTGTTAAATATGAATTGATTTGTGATCTAAAATAAATATTATAAATTACATATATAATATATATTATTTATAATAAATATTTATAATATATAACAATATGGGAATATTTATTATATTTAATATGAGAAGTAAATGTTATTATATACTAAAGTTTTCATGTATAAAGAACCAGAAATACAAAAGCAGTGTTATTAGTAATACCCACATAATGAGACTGTTGGTGTCAAAACGATTTTCTTGTATTTAAATCATAACATTATTGTAGATGCACTAGCTGATTTTTGTAACCACAATCATTATCTGAAAATATAATACATTAGTAACTTGTCACAAACCTCTAGTCTAGTAAGTTTGTTGTTTTTTAATTTTATGGTGTTTTATTTTAACAATATCTACTTGTTAAATCATTTGTTCTTTTTTGTGCTTACTTATTATAATGTAAAAGTTGTTACCAATGTACATCTTCCCTGAAGTTTCGAATAATTCTTGTTTTCTAGATCATTTCCTTCTTTTTTTTTCTTGGATTGTTCCCTATGGTACAGAACTAAAAAATCAACCAACTAGGAAGCTCACAGTCTGGTATTTTGCAAATTAAGCCTCTAGGCAGCTGGCATAATCTCTTTATATAGCATAAAACAACATATAATAGTGATATTTGAGATTTATTGAACACTTTTTTGTATAGCTTATTACATTTCCTATTTAATCTTCCCAAAAAACTGAGATAGGTACTATTATTATCCTTAATTTACACCTAAAGCACAGAGGTTAGGTAACTTGCCCTCACATAGCTCATAAGTGGTAGAGCTTAAGGTCAGATTCCTTTTGTTAACTATTACACTGAAGACTTGTATTCATTCTGTCTATTCATCTAATGGAAATTGCATTAAGTTAGTTAACTAAGTACAACCAATGGTACTACTGGCTCTAATTTGAAGAGAATACTTTAAGTCCTTCTTAAGCATGAGTTACTTCATGTCAGTGTCTCATCAAAGCAGGCTATTCTCTGACTTCTTCTATTCCCCATCTCATGTGGGTCACTCAGCATTCACTTTGCATAAGTAAGCACTGGCTTTGAATTTTTAATTTCTTGCTATACTGATTTTAGGGTATTAGCTAGGTCCTGATCAATGTGTCCTCTTAAGTACTATTACTCCATCTCACCTTTGGACACAGTTTAATTATCAAAGAATGTTTTCCAGTGTTCATATAATAAATTACTATAATTGGAGGAGGAATGTTGAGTTCCTCTGCAAAACAGTGTATTGCAGTCATTTTGCCTTCTAAGTATACAGTTTCCTAGTCTAAACGTTTGCACTTGGGAATTTAAAAATACTTTTAATTTTATATTTTAGCTGGATGATACTTTATGTCCATTTATTACATTATCATGTAGTTTCTAGTGCTCAACATTATTAAGATAGCACAATTCTAGCAATAGAAGGAAGTATAAAGATTATTTATGTCTAATATCCCTCCTTTTCATACTTTAACCCCTTTTGCTTTGGGGGAGGGTCATTAGTTAATAAGTCTAATAATTTTATTTCCAGACAGTGATTTTGGTGCTTTTCACTAGCCAATGAACAGTAAGAATGCACTGTTTCGGAAAGCATACCGCCAGAATTAAATTGTTAATATATAACAACCATTTCCCTAATCATCTGTGTTTTTTTTAAATATTCTCACACAGAAGGAACCTTCTAAATCCAGCGTCAAGAAAAAAGTGACCAAAGTCGCAGAAGCAGAAAAAGTAATGAAGAGAAATTTTAAAGTGAACAAGAAAATAACGTTTACCGATGAAGGAGAGGTAAGATTCTGTAGATGCTTTGTTGCTGAGGTACATTCCAAGTACTAAGAAGAGTTTGCCTCTCCTGCTGATTTGCCATTCATTAACGAGAGAGTAAATTGTTTCTTTACAGCATGTTGGGCAGTTCCTTCCACTGTTATTGAAGGTATTTCATCGGCTCTACGGCTGTGGACAAGGATGCTGTATTGACAATAAACTCAGATAATTCTTGGTGATAATGACACAGAGTTGGCTTTGAACTTTCTAAATTTTGTGTTTTTTTTCTCATCGTGGTATTATCAACATGTTCAGTGGGAATAAGCACAAGAATACTAACAACTACATGCCACAGCTGCTTTTGCTTGACTCTTAGCCTCTGCTCTGCAGTTCCTTAATTTTAGATGCTGTACTTGCATGTTTCTTGCTGGCCTGGCTATGGGAGGGAATTCTCTGCTTTAAAGTAATCTCAGACACCTAAGTTCCTGTTTTCATCTTTCCTTTACCTTGGCCTTATTGTAAATGCTCATATATACCCATAGTGTAGGGAAGGGGTTACCACCCACAGATTACTCATGAAAGCTCACTCTATTACATAGTGATTATCTTGTTTTTTAAATGATGAAATAGATCCAGAATGTCAAGTGACTTATCTAAGGAGTGATGACTAGTGAATCATCACGGCAGAGTCTTCTGAATATCATCTCATGGCCTCATTCTCACCAGCCTACAGGTTTCCCTGACCATCCTAATACAGCACAAACAGCACCTTACCTCCACTGTAATCTCACTCTTCCTTATTTTGCTTTACAGAATTTATTTTGTGACTTCATAGTCTATGTTTATTTGACTTTTGTCAATTTCTTCCACTCCACTTCTTCACGAGGGAAGGTATTTTGTTGTCTTTATTCACTGTTCTATCCCTAGCACCTAGACCAGTGCCTACCATATAATAAACCCATAAGAAAATTTGTTGAATGAATGATTCATCATCTGTTATTCCAATAAAATAAGAGAGCTTTTCATATTGACTATAATGTATCACATCATGTATTTCATCATCACTAATCAGTGCTGCTTAAGCAGTCTATATTCAGTGGAGTATGTTTCCTTTTAATTTTGAAGTTAACAAAGATTTGGATATTATTTTGAAGTGTATAAATCAGATGAAAAGTAACAAAATAGAGTGCAATTCAAAGTTGCTAGAAGTTGAAGAGGAAGTCTATATAAATGATAAATAATGGATCTTTATGAAATTACTAAAAAGAGGTCAGCACCTGAGAAGGAGGCTAAACTAGAATATGGTCACATTACATCTGCTGTTCACTGTAAAATAAGTAGAGTGCTATTAGCATAATGAGGTTCCTTAGTGTGTGACTAAGTTTAACTTCACAGATTATACCAATTAGTTCCGTCAGGAGTATAAATCCTTAACTGTAAAATGTTTTAATGTATACTTATTGCTTCTGGGAGCTGTTTGTGGTCGTGACCCATACTGTATCTTCTTAGCTAAAGCTCTGAAAGGAGCTATAGTATTTGTTCAACCCACAGAGGGATAACCAGTTCTTCTCTATGATAGAAGTAGGGATCAGGAGCCTGAGTAATGGATGATATTCTTATTGTCACAACTGATCCCGCTCTCTGCTTCTTTAGGGTCAGTGACTGCTAGCATGGCTGCTCATGCGATATTATTTGTCACCCCCATTATCTGCCAAAAGTTGAGACTCGATAGGAATTTCATCTCGAAGAATGTGTGGCTACAAGAGTGAGAGGAGGCATTAATATCTGTGATGTATGTGCCTACAATTTCCATTTGCCTACAGGCTAATTAGCAGTCTTTCAAAATAGTAGCAGCTATTAAATCCTTCTGGCAATTAATTGTTAGATAAAATAAGGGAACCGTTTTTTGTCTAAATTATCTAGGGGAGTTTTTCAATGTGAGACCTGGAAATTAGTGAGTCAAATAAACTTTATTTTTCTAGAAAGGGACACAGGTGTCCAGAGATTAAGGAATTTATTCAGTTTATGCAGTAGGCTAGTGAAAAAGCCAGGATATTCAGCCAGGTCCCCTGACTCCCCGGTCACTGACCTGTCTTCTATGTCACTTGTTTCTGACCATAAACTGTGAATAAAATTGTGTGGATTTGAGCATGCCTGTGAAATCAAAACTAATTTTCTTCTTTACATTTAGTTATTGCAGTCCTTATCTGTAATATTGGCTGATAAGTGATTCATTGATCAATTTTGAGCACCTGTTTAATATGTGCCAGATACTATGTTGATTCTCTGAGAATAAATTAACAAGACAAATAAACTGCCCTCAAGGAGATTAATTCTTGTAAGAAACACAGGAAAGTAGAACACAGTATTATGAGATATGTGTTAGAGGCACACAGGTGCCACAGTAGCCCATAGGAGGTAGATGCTAGTCAGCTTGGGTGCTGCTCTGTGCAGATAATTTTGAGGTGAGTCATATGGAGAATAGGACACTAAGATCACCAAGAAGATGTTGAAGCATTCCTATTCTGAAACTACCTTCTCCAAATAATTTTGTGAAATTTTCTTCTAATTCAGTTCTCATTGGGTTATTGCAGCACTACTTTATCTTGACCAGGGTAGTCTTTTCTGTGGCCTGCTCATTTTAATTTTGATATTTGCAAGAAAGTTTAAGAAATACAGGTTGTAAGGCAGAAAGTGGCTAAATGCACCATTTCGAAATCATCATACAAAAGGAAATAGTTTTCTGTGGCTTTTCTTTTTCCTGCCCCACACTTGACCTTTTTTCTGTCTGTCGTTGGTTCAGCAGTGGCCACAAATGCAGAAATCCATCATGAAGGATACTGAGGAAGAAGACAGCCCAGGTAGTATCAACTTGAATAAGGCAAAGGAAAGGCTTCAGGAAGAGGACAAACTTGACAAAGAAGAGTATAGGAAGAAAATAAAGGCAAAGCATCGGGTAAGATTTCCATCTTGAATTAATACTGAGTCAAATTCAGTATGTCACTAAATATGTCTAAATGTTCATGAGCTATTTATTAATGACGATGTTACTTTCTTGGTTGTTTTCACTGACAGTTCTTTTTCTATGGCTGTCTTGTTCTTTTATCTGTTCCTTTTGACCTTCTGTTGGGGGAATCTTTGTTTACTGACTGGTTTCTGAGAATGTCACCTAAATCTGCTTTTAGTCTGAGGTGACCCAAGTAATATTAGTGTGTTTTTTTAAGTTTTCATTTTGAGATAATTGTAGTTTCACATGTAGTTGTAAGAAGTAATACAGAAAGATCTCATGTTCTCCATTACTATAATTTTGTCATAAAACTATACGGTATGTAGCCTTTTGGGACTGGCTTTTTTCTCTGAGCATTATTCTCTGGAGATTCATCCGAGTTGTGTGTATCAAAACTTCGTTCCTTTTATTACTGGGTAGTATTCCATGGTATAGATTTACCAAGGTTTGTCTCACCATTCACCCGCTGAAGGACATTGATGGTGTTTGCAGATTCAACTTAGCAGTTAAATTTCTTTCTATAGCAATTACTTGTTAATAGATATGAGATTAAATTTGTTATTGTTACAAAAAATGGAAACCTTCTAAGAGACAGTGCTTGTATATAAAAAGAATGTGCCCTGGTGGCCTTAAACTTGGCCGTTTATTATACTTGATTGTGGTCACACATGATATTATCATTCTGTTATACTACTTCCTTCCCTAAAAGTGGACATTTTGCTAGATAAATGGATTGATTAAATAAAGCACATTTACATTTTTAAAGAACTTTCTGCCTTACAACCTGTATTTCTTAAAGGTTCTCGCAAACATCAAAATTAAAGTGAGCAAGCCACAGAAAAGACTACCCTGGTCAAGATAAAGTAATGATGCAGTAACCCAATGAGAACTGAATTAGAAGAAAATTTCACAAAATTATTTGGAGAAGGTAGTTACAGAATAGGATTCTTCTAGTTTTTCACTCCTGTTTGACCTTGTAACTAATGGACCAGTATACATGCTCTCTTTCCTTTTTTTTATAGAGCAGCAATTCTTATTTCTTTAAGATTTGATGCAGCTACACAGTAGTATTTGATGAAAAAGAAAAAGTAGACATTTAAGATAGCTTCAGTTGGGAATGAATGTTGAAAAAAACATTCCAGAAATAATGGAGTACAAATGAACATGAAATATACTGGTTGCAATTGTTAGATGTTTATGTTATTGAGAGAACTAAACATTTCTTTTATTGCTTCTTTTAGTACTGTACTTAAATTGAAATTTGGCATTAACATTTTGTTGTTAAAATCTTTTATAATACTGAGTGCCAGCAGCCAGTCATGTTTCTGCTTACAGTCTTAGAGTATTTATCCAGGAGAAGATTGAACATAGAAATGTTTTAGCCTTCATTATTTCTAAGTTATAGCCAACAATAAAAGAAATATGAAGAGTTTTCATCAAATAAAGCTTTTTCTCCCTTACCTTTCCTTGCCTTCTCTTTTCTCCCATATTGTGGGAGTTATTACTATATTCAGATTGTAGAATATTGTTTCTGAAACCTTTCAAAAGTCAATTTTTAATGGACTAATTGTACATGTATTACATGGCATTTGTGTGTTAGGCTATCTGCTAGGCTGTGAAGGTGGAATTTCTAAAATACATGGGTCCCTCTGTCCTCAGGAAGATTATAATTAAATCATAATGAACTGTGTATATGCTGTCATTTCACAACAGCTGTTTGTACCTCTGTTTATATATTTATTTATTTATTTTTCCTTTTTTTGTCTTTTTTCATGTCCGGCAACAGATCGCAACCCTCAGTGTCGTGCCCGCACCGGACCGGGACCGGCAATGGGACCGCAACCCTCGGTGCTGCGCCCGCACCTCGCTCAGCCAGTGAGCGGGAACCGGTCTGCATGTGGGATCCGAACCCTCGGCGGGAGCGCCGCCACGCTTCCAAGCTGCGCACTGTAGCAGTGCGCCACCGGGCCAGCCCTGTACCTCTGTTTATTTTAACATTAAATTTTTTGGA